TTTAATTAATGAGGTTTTTCTACTGAGGGTGACTCAAGATATGCTACTTATGAACTACGTGTACCTTTACATTTTAATCTATTGCTGTATGACTTCATGTATTAAGTCCAGTATTCTGAACATCCTTTAGTGATTTAGTGGGTGGTACTTATCTGAATGTTCTGGAGGGATATAGAGATAAATGAGCTTTGATCTTGACAATTACACTATAGTTGGAAAAAACATGTTTAGCGCCTGAGTTAAACAAACTGACCGTGTGCGGAGACATCTCAAAAAGATGACAAAATTTCGGAGTAGCCCACACATGATAAGCTCCTTCTTGGATTGAGTTGTTTGCAAGCTCTTTTAGCAATGAAGGGTGGGTAAGTGGGTCTTAATGAATTCTATGAACCCTGCTGAGGCCTGAGGTTTTTTATATTAATGCTGATAAAATGAAATGCATTTAGCAGATTAGAGAGTCCAGCAATGTAATTTCACAATGATTCAGTGACTCAGTTTTTATTCTTGAGTAATTTTCCTATACCTGGGCTTGAAACAGTGCAGCTTTGTTTCTGATGGGCCTGGTGACATGTGAGCATCTTGTTAAGGGTCATGGAGAGGATGGCATATGGCAGAGCAAACCCTCCTCTCTCAGGAGCAAAGTAGGGGACATCCTGGCATCTGTATCCAAATGTGAGAAAGTCCTCATGGACAATATTAAAAATAATCCATTGTGTGCTCTCACTCTTTTATTTTTATTTATTTATTTATTTTATGTTTTAATCATTTTATTAGGGGCTCATACAACTCTTATCACAATCCATACATACATCAATTGTGTAAAGCACATTTGTACATTCATTGCCCTCATCATTCTCAAAGCATTTGCTCTCCACTACCCTCCCAGTATCACCACTGACACCACTGGTCCTGAAGGGATCATCCGCCCTGGATCCCCTGTGTTTCCAGTTCCTATCTGTACCAGTGTACATCCTCTGGTCTAGCCAGACTTGCAAGGTAGAATTCAGATCATGCAAGTCGGGGTGAGGGGGGGGGGTTTTAGGAACCGAGGAAAGTTGTATTTTTAATCCCTGCTACATCGCACCCTGTCTGGCTCATCTCCTCCCTGAGACTCCTCTGCAAGGGGACATCCAGTGGCCTACAAATGGGCTTTGGGTCTCCACTCCCGCACTCCCCCCTCATTCACCATGGTAAGATTTTTGTTTTGATGATGCCTGATACCTGATCCCTTCGACACCTCGTGATCACACAGGCTGGTGTGCTTCTTCCATGTGGGCTTTGTTGCTTCTGAGCTAGATGGCCTCTTGTTTACCTTCAAGCTTTTAAGACCCCAGACACCATCTCTTTTGATAGCTGGTGTGCTCTCTCTCTTATGTGATTAACTCATTTCTGCCTCAGTTTTTTGGGTTGTGGACGTGGGGGTTGGCATACTAAAAACACCCATTTTGTAACTACTGTGGAAAAATAGGTTATATCCAAACTAACTCTAATGGCTACTGGGAGGCCAATTCTCAAAATGATCATCGAGGGAACTACTGGGGTTTGGAGTCATGGTTGATAGTTTCATATGTATAATATTCGCTGATCCAGCTGTTCTTTTCGATTCTCTGAGTGATTTAAGAGGGAAATGGTGATGTTTACCCTAAAGCATTCATTTGGGAAAGCTCTATAAAGAAATGAGTCTATAGGGTAAGGCCGTTTCATGATCATTCATAACCATCTGAGAACTGTTCTGACCATTGTTGAGTGATCCTTGAACTTCAGATATGGTCTGAGGACCAACGGCCTCAGCTTCATCTGGGATCTTGTCGGACCAGTGTGCTTCATACAATTGGATGATGGATTGTTAAACGATTTGTAAGAGCTCCCCCTCCCCCCAATAAAATGATTAATAAAACAAACGCAGAACTCAGGGCCTCTCACTCCGGCACTTGTATGCAGAATCCTAACAGGATCGCCATGAGCCCTCTGCACAGTAAAGCCCGGGAAGCACGGCTTGAGATGTTGGCATACATCACTGAGTCATTTGTTCTTCTGTGGAGCAGTGCTTCTTTCAAATGTTTTGTGTCCTTCGTGGAGGATTGATACTGTAGGAAGAATGGAGTCCTTCCGTTCCCCAGGGCATGTAGCCACGTTACCTTTCGGCTGTACCCCGGTGGTGGTCAGTGCTCTCTAGGTCAGGGCAGGTTAGCATTTCACGGCTCACCTGCCGGTCTTCACGCTTCTTCATTCAGACCCATCGTCTTACCTACATTGGAATACAATGTTGGGAAGTAGGGGATGTCCGTTTTAGTTGATTCATTTAGTTGCTGTAGAAGCATAATCTGTCTGGTAACATGATTCGTACATGCCAGTCTCTCTGTGTCAGTGTCAGCTGAGGACTATGCTCAGAATTCATATTAAAAAAAATAATCACATTCTCAAATTATTCCCCGGGAATTTGAATCAGTAGGTCCAGGAGGAGGCTTTGTGATCTACCTTGCTAAGGAGTCCTCCACACTGCAGTGCTGCACACAGCCTGTTTTGGAAACCTTTGCTGTCAGCAGTCTCTGTTCTATTAGATTTCCTCTGCCTTCCATGTTTTTTTTTCTGTATTGTCAATCATACCTTTTATTATTTGTGTGTGTGTGTGTGTGTGTGTGTGTGAGTACAGAACTAAAACATTGGCTAGAAAAAACGAGCCATTGATCTCAAAGAGGAGCCCTGTTTCCTTTACTGGATGTTGACTAACAGGAGCAAGTCATTCCGTCTCCGTTTCACTCTCTGTAAAAAGGGGCGTATACTCAGTGGGATGTGAGATCATATGAGTGGATGCTTTGAACTCTTCAAAAGAAAAGGCGTGTGAATTGAGCTTGTTATTACAACCCTCTTTTAATATCCTTCCTGTTAAATTGTCTTTTCCTTTTTGCAGTAAAATCTGGTTCTCAATGAAAACTTCTCTCTGGAATGTCTACTCCCCATCCCCCATTTTTGTTTTACACCCATCCCCGCTGTTCTTTGCCTTCTGGTGGTTTCCAGCACCTGTCCCCTGGGCAGTTTTGTTGAGGTCATTCCGATCCAGAGCTCTTCTGTTGGGCAGATCAGAGCAGCTCTTGCTGAGACTTGTCAGGAACTGGGGAGTTGTCCACTGGGACAGGGATTTCAAACTAGAAAGTTTATGAGAGAGACACCTAGTCTCTTGTGATGAACTCACTGTTTGGTCTGGAGACCCCAGGGCCTTTCATATTTGAAGAAAGTATGAGTCAGCTTGGATAGAGGTGGATGCCTGGGCCTCTGTTTGGCAAAAGGCTGGAATTGGCTGATGGACATTTCTGGATTGCAGGTGAAGTAGATATTGAAACTCCAAAAACTTAAGGAAACCAATGATGTATTTCTAATTTAAAAAATATTCTTTCTAGTAATATCCTAAAGCAAAAGAGTTTTAGGAAATTAATTCATTTGGAATGATATTTGTCATTGTTCAGATACATGGGAGATAAGAAACAAAAGGAGCAAGAGATCAGTTTGCAGGTAAACCACTTAAAGCGTGTTGGATGGAGGACCACGCAAAAGAGCTTTGTTTTATATTTATCTTGGATTTATATTCATTAGTATTTGCAAGTGTTAGTTACAAAATATGGACAAGGAATTAATCAAAATGCACTATTTTTTTTCATCTTTTGAATGAGGAAGCTCAGCAGAAGTTCAGTGAATGGTCCCAAGTCACATTTCTTGTGACATAATAGAGCCAGGACAGAAACTCAGACCGTCGGTTTCTTGAGTCTAGATTATTTTGTATGACCCAGTTACTTCTCCAGTCAGGGCGCTGTGCTAGAGTTCTAGGAGCTTGCATTTCTTCTCTGTTCCAACTGACCTGCAGATTCTTAAAAGGCACAGTTACGAGTAGATCTTGCTAGTACATAGCGTGTAGTAGCTTTCAACATCGCTTTAACTTGTACAGTGTAATCTGGCACTTTAAGTTAGTAGCTCACAATACGTTCTACCGGTGTGTGAGCAAGAGTTTCAGGTGGTGTTTGTATAGAGGGCCAGACCACATTTTTAGAGTTAAAGAAAACAGGCCTCATTCCAAATCATTGTGTACCTTCCTGGTAGGCCTTTCATGATTCTGCCCCGTTCTTCTCTAGTAATCAAACACATGCCCTAATGCAGCATTCACTGTTCTCTCTTCAACAGCAGAGGATGTTAGGAGATTTGATAAGAACAACTCCTGATTTTAAGCCTTTTCTAAAGAAATCACACGCACAATTATTTATGCAAACATACCAGTTTATTGACCATATTCACATATCACGTATCATGCTTCCTGACACTCTCCAGTACTCAACTTGTTAGATGTGTATATGTCCTTATAGATTAAGAGAATTTCTTTAGGAAACGTGGATTTTAATATCTCATACTGACTGGGTTGTGTAGCACAATCAAGAAACATTTTATGGAGTTAGGTAGATTTGTTAGGTACAACTTATTTAAATCAATGAGAAGCCACACAAAAGACTTGGGCATTAAAAATGTTAGTGGGGGGAAATATGAAAAAGAAATCTTAATTTAGTTTAAACAGGAAGCAACAAGTCCACTGACTAAATGAGGCATACAATCAGATGAGTAGCTACTTCTATAAAGTAGAATTGCGCACATCCAATCAAGGTAAGATGAACAGATCAGGTCATTTGATAATGTAGCAAACCAACCAGTTATAATGTTCACCAGCTGGAGTGTGCACGTGCTGGTGTAGGTTCCGGAGTATTTATCCCTGTTACTTTTAATGAAAGGAAATTCGCATTCTTTATATAGAATCAAAAATACCAGTTAATTGCATTCTAATTTCTGAATGTTGGGTTCTGCGCTACTTATTATATCACATAAGGTACAATCAGGGACTTAAAGGAGGTTTTAAAAATTGAAACATAACACACACACACACACACACACACACCCTCACCTACACACACGCAAAACGTTCAGAATGCTAGATTTCCAACCCCTGTCTTCTTCTTCTCCAGGAGAACGCATGGCTGCTACAAGTGCCGTCAGTGCAGTGTCACAGCTGCGGACACCCAGTCACTACTAGAGCACTTCAACACTGCTCACTGCCAGGAGCCGGACATCACTACAGCCAACGGCGAGGAGGACAGCCATGCTGTGCCCGGCATCAAGGAGGAGCCCAAAATTGACCTCAAGGTCTACAGTCTGATCAATCCAGACTCTAAAATGGGAGAGCCAGTTGCCGAGAGTGTAGTGAAGAGGGAGAAGGTCGAAGACAAGGACGGCCTTAAAGAGAAAGTGTGGACGGAGAGTGCCAGCGAGGACCTTCGCAGCGCGACTTGGAGAGGGGCAGAGATCCTACGGGGTAGTCCATCGTATGCTCAAGCAAGCCTGGGGCTTCTGACCCCTGTGTCCGGCACCCAAGAGCAGACAAAGACGCTAAGGGATAGCCCTAACGTAGAAGCTGCCCATCTGGCGCGACCCATCTATGGCCTGGCTGTGGAGACCAAGGGATTCCTGCAGGGGGTGTCAGCTGGTGGCGAGAAGTCTGGGGCCCTCACCCAGCAGTATCCTGCATCGGGAGAAAGCAAGTCCAAGGATGAATCCCAATCCCTGTTACGGGTAGGAAGGTTTAATTTTTTTAAAAAAAAAATTAAAGTCTTTTGAAGGGGAAACACAGCACACATTTTCAAGATTTGGTATAGTTTCATGAAGGGAAATGAAATGGTCTGTATCAACCTGCTGGTTTACACTTAAAAAACCCACAGGGCAGAAAGGGGCTCATGGGCATGTATGTGCACTTGTAGTCACGTGCACATGCACACACGCGCACGGACACTCGCTCTACTGGGGTAGCCTGCCAATTGTTTGTCTTTGCTCTTAGCGCAGATTGAATTTTGGTGATTAATCACTCATGGTGATTATGGGAAACAGCCAGGCTGCATTTGGAGAAGGGAAGCTTAGCCTCCCTGAGAGTGTACCTTTGTTACATCAAAATAACGAAATGCCTTTCGACTTATAAGGTAATGTGACACTATGTGGTTCCTTGGGACATTATTGGAGATTTAAATTGCTAAGCACGTAAAGCCCGTTGAGAGGTTGATAGAGAAGTGCGGGGTTTTGTAAAACCCACAGTATAATTATGTACAAATGACAGTGCTTCTAGTTTGGTTGCCAAGAAAAGGGGGAGAAGGAGATAGAGCTAAATGTGAATGGTGTGAAGAACATCCATAAAAAAATAGGTACAGTAAAATTTATATTTATCAGACTTTTGGGGGGAAAACACAGTTCCATTTTGTGGAGAAGAACAACACAGAAAAAGAGCATCCGGAAATCTTTGGATAAAATAAGATCCTTTGTTGCGCATTTCTTGCTGTGTAGTGTCAGCATTGTCAATAGTTTAAGGTTTGAGAATTTGCGAGCTTCCCCAACGTGATGCCAGCTGTTTTGTCTAAGACATGTCTGCTTCAGCATTTCACATTTGACTCTTGAGAAAGTTTTGAACTTTCTGGGTGATGTGGAAGCTTTGAGTGTGCATGGAAAGTCGTGTAAGAGACTCGCGAACTTTTGTAGACAATCCAGTTAGAAAGTATAGTTCAGTCAGCCGGATGCCTTGACCTCCACGCCAGGGACCATTCAGGTCCCTCTGGGTGTTTCGTGGTGAGATTAAAAAAACCCCAAAAACCACGCTTCCCAGTGACACCCACCCCCTCTGCACTCATTACCTGTCGCCTGTCCAAAGCCTCTCCGGTACAGGCAGGCCCCCGGTTATGAACGTTCTGATTTATGAACAACTGCTTCCCTTCAATGCTGTGCTAGCTATGCCCTCGCTTGGAGAGCTTTGAAAGAGCCGCGGAGGCTCTGTCAGGTAAGCATTGCACTGCTTAGTGTGTGGTTGGACTACTAAGCAGCTGAGGCGGTTTGCTTCTGCAAAGACTCTCCTCCTCGGAAACCACATGCTCGGAGTTGGAATCGACTCTTGTCTGTGCAGCATTTAGATTCTTTGACAGACAGTGAGCATTTTCTGGCCCCGACCCAAAAAATCTCACTACCATCCATTCAATTCAGATTCATATTGACCTTGTAGAAACAGATAGAACGGTCCTTGTGGGCTTCTGAGGCATAACTCTACCGGAGTAGAAAGCCTCCTCTTTCTTCTGAGGCTGGTGGTTTTGAACTGCTGACCTTGCGGTCAGCAGCCCAATATTGAACCACGATGCCATCTAGGCAGCTTCTTGTGCTGAAGTAAGGCTGAAAACTCGATACACCTGTAGCTACAGATGTTCCTTAAATACACCCTTGAAGAGTGAATCTACATAACACCAGGTTTTGGAGGGACTGTCTGCGTTCTGTAATGCACTTGAGAAATGCTCCTTAGAGCAGCACTTATTATAAAAGTTGACACATTTGATCTTCTGTCTTGCCTAGAGTTGAGGGAAGGATGAAGAACAGTAGGGGTGCTTCCCCATGCACCCCCCCAAACAAAGAATCCTCCCTGCAGAACACACAGACTCGTTATGAGTAACGTTTGGAAGAAGATCCTGTGCCCTTCAATAGGCTGTTCAATCCAAGGAGCTCCCTTCCAGTGAAGAGATCTGCAGAGGCTGCAGGAGTTCGCCTTGTAAATACTCATTTTCTGAGCATGTCAAGACTCTTCTGGTTTTAAGTGGCTCAGATAGTTCCTGGCAATAAAGAAGGAATGCAGACTTGGGTGACAATACAGACACACCTATATGTGTGTGTGTATATCTATATATTTTTTTTCTCCCCCTACTTAAAATAGTTTGCATTCATGGCATTTTTATTCAATACAAAACTGTTTGACTCTTTTAGACCGTTTCTGGGGTGATCCCTTTTCTGCCTTCTTTTTTATACTCTAAAAATGTAGAATTATGAATCATTAAGCAATGAAGTCTAAAACCTAAGCAGGTAATAGTTGCTTTTGTTGAGCATGCTGAATGACGGCACATTTCTGAAAAGGTTGTTTTTCTTAGTCACTACGATTCTTCCATTCCCTGCCTTCAAAAGTTGGCTATTGCAGCTGTCTTTTCAGTACCTCCCCTCTGGCTGCCGAAGTAAGAAATCTGCAGCAGGGGACTCTAGCCATGCGGTACAGTGGATAGTCCATTTTCCAGCCCTGGGGTTGCCATACTTAAAAGATTATAATCTATTAAATGACAGAGTAGATAAGAGTGAATATATATGCAATGCACACACACACATACATCATCTATATATAGCCATATATGTGCATTTATATATGTGTAAATGTAGAGAGCGAGGACGTTGATTATTCTGTGATTTTGATGAAATTCAAATTGCAAAGAATTACATTTTGTTTGTGTTTGGGTAGTCTTTTTGAAAATTCACGAATTTTATTGGAGATTTTCCGTAAGCACGGTAGCTATTTTATAAAACCTTTGTGTGTGTGTGTGTGTGTGTGTTTATGCTATTTAACTGAAGTTTGCATTAATTAACAGAATTTAAGAGTTTTTTATGTGTACGTATTTTAGTTGGTCTGCTTCATAAGATGTCAAATCAATTTTGATGGATGGGTTTAACACACGTTGTACTTTGGTGCGAGAAATAGGTCTTCCGTAGTCACAGCATGTGTATCCTTCTCAGTTCATTACCCTGTTCTCTGTGAGGAAAAGCGTCCCTGCAGAATAGCCTCACCATGCTGACCAAAGGCAAAAACGATGCACTTTAATTTTGTAGTTGCAAAGGTCTAGTGATTAGTGAACTCTCTTGTGACAATTTATAAATGCACAATGCAAATATAGTTTCTGTGTTCCATCCAAACAAAAAACCACAAAGGGCCTGTGTAAATATATGTGTGTAAATATAATATTCATATTTAGGTAAATAGAATGGAATTGAAAAATTAGTTATTTTAATTTTGATCATGCTTATTCAGAATAGAAAATATTGAGTTTTAAGTTTTAAGAGCAATGCTATTTATAAACATGTACATGTAGCTTCTTATACTAACAGTAAAACTTCAAAACACACCTCTAGGGCTTTGCACCATAGTTAGCTATCAAGAATTAAGTATGAAAACTTAGCTCAATAGAAAATATTGATTTAAAAAAGATCAGCATTATACTGGGAAATAGTGTAAATCTTTTAAGTTGTAGGTTGAATCATTAGGGTTATGTTAGAAAGCACATGGCTAGAATGTTGCTTTCAGAATCATAGACTTTCGGATACTTGATTTTAACTGGGCTTAGTGAAAATTTCTGTTCACAGTGAGGAAAGAAATATAACGATGCCAGAGAATAACTTACATTAAAAGGGCTAGATAGTTTAATTGTCTAGGGTTTTAATTTTGTGTTTCATATTAAGTCCTCTGTGTATATTTTTACATAGCGAATGTCTATATTTTCCCTAGATTGTCCAATTTTATGAGCATGAAATTGATGATATAGACATTTTTAAATTCAATATGTCACCTATAGTGACCATTGTGCTCTGAATGTGACAGGGGGCACATTAACATTTGCTTTAGCTTAGAAATTGCCTTATGAAATTAGGGTTCCATTTATATTAGTCATTGTTGATTGCCTAATGAATAAGAATAATTAAAGCCTTTAGACCCTTTGCTAAAATATTCCCAGCTTCTAGAACATCTTAATGGTACTCCTTGAAAATTTCCATAATAGATCTTATAAAACATGAAAGTAGCCACTAAAAGTTAATATTTTGAAAACAGCATGTTCTCAGCTAGATTTATAATTTGGCCCTCTAGAATGTTTAGCATATTTAACCCTGCCAGTGCAAAAATTGAAAGATAGTGTTTAAAAAACTTTTATTTTAAATGTTACATATTTTGTTCTAATTTCACTGATCAGTTTAATCAAGTTTGAACTCATTAGAGTTGTCTGTTCTGTTCTGATCCTTTTCTTCTATAATGAATTCTTCAAGAAAGCTGTCTTTTTTGGTGTTTTGAAGAAATAGTCATATACAATTAGCTGTAACTTTATTAGGCTTTTTAAATTTTTATTTTATTCGTCTTAAAATTTCCATAATATGACAAGTTCTGTCTTTTAGCCCCATCACTAAGAGTTAAAAAAATCAACAACTAACATTAAGTTTCTAAAATTTTTCAAAGAACAGATACATTTTTCATTGTTAATGGAGTATTAATTGATTTTTATTTTTATGTAAGTCATTTGGGGGGCTCCTGTAGCTGTTCTAACAGCCCATGCTTCGGTTGTGTCCAGCACATTGTACAGATGTTGCCATCATCCTTTTCAAAACATTTTCTTACTACTTGAGCCCTTGATATCAGCTCCTTTTTCCCCCCCTCCTACTCCCTCCCTTCCACCCTTGTGAACCCTTGATAAATTATAAATTATTATTAGTTTCATATCTCACACTGTCTGCTGTCTCCCTTCATCCATGTTTATGCTGTTCACCCCCTGGGAATGGGGCTAATATGTCAATCATTTGCAATCGGTTTTAATTTGTTAATGTATCATTTGTTAATATAAACTTAATTAGTGAATCTATAGGTGGAGTTACTGGAAAGTCTTCATTTAGTAACTTCCTATTCTTATTTGTCAACAGAATCTCATAGGTAGGTCTAAGTTCTTTCAGAGGGTCAAACTCCCTATCGTATC